ATATTTCACACACAGAGACCTGCAGGTGCTCAGAAATCTTTTACAAACCTGAACTCAGGAATTGGAAACGGAATTCCAACAAACCTATTTAATTACTCTCTGATGTCATGCTGTCTAAACTAATTTAACTGCGATATATTTCTTAAAAAAAAATCTTCTTTACCCTTTTCATTAGCATGAGTCATACTCTGCCTCATGTGAAACAGCTCCACAGGCTCAAAACTCCAGAGGATGCCTTTTCAAGTGGCAGTACGGCCTCTGCCTCAGCCCTCGATGAACTCCACGTTTAGACAGGACAAACTGCAAAATCAACAACTGAGCCCTGTCACACGGTCCGCTGGACACATACATCAAATAATCGAAGAATAATTCATTTAGTTCTTTTTCCAGAGAACTGTAACAGCGGCTTTGCTTTGTCCTCTGGTGACTGAAGGGCTGCGCTGTAACGCCGGCACTTAATGAGGGTAACTTTAATTTGACACAAACACACAGGGCCGTGCCTGCAGACAGTGTATTTTGGCTTATTTATCGCTATGCTTAAAACCCCCGTGTGAGCCCAGCTGGAGAAGCAGCTCCTGGCGGAGGGGATGCCCCGCAGGGCGGGCGCAGTGCAGCGGGGCAGCAGTGCACCCTGCAGGCAGCCATCCTCCTCCTCCTCCTCCTCCTCCTCCCTCCTTCCTCCCCTTTGTCCGCAGCCTCTCGGGAGCTGGAGACAGGCCTAACCCCCGTCTTTCATGCAGACACTGCTGGACACCAGCCTTTGTTTTAATACGAGATGCAAAACGTTCCGAGCCGCCGACCCCAGGACCCCAGGACGGCGGGCGGGTCCAACCCAGGTGTCACGGCTGTGCTGTGGCTTTTAGCCCTCCAGGACAGAGTGTGGAGCAAGTGTGTCTTTCATAAGCTGCAAAAAAATGAACTGCTGTTCCAAATGAGCCTTCAGGAAATGGGGCACCGGGCTGGATTGAACAGGGATTACTGGGACCTGTCTCTCACCTTGCACTGATGCTAAGCCCAGTCCTCCTCCTGCAACTGCTTTTGCTTTCTGAGGCAAGAAGGGAAGAGGTGCAACACTTTTTAGCTTGATCTGTGTGTGCTGTAGCATTCCCCACCCGCCCTGACCAGTATCAGAAACACTGAACTACTTTCATAAATAACAACCTGCATGACATGAGGAGCTCTGAATACTTGTTTGGAGGAACTGAAGGATAGAAGAGTTCAGTGATTTCGTAGATGTCACAAATAAGGTAGATCCAAACCCTCCTGGCCCTTCCTCTGATGTCAGTTGTACTTTTGATTGATACTCCCCATCAAAATAAAGCACCTTCTCCCTGAGTTACCTCTGGTGAAACCATTCCCCAGCGTTCCCTCCACACCATCCCACAGCCCTCCCAGCCATGCCATCCTTTTATCCTTCCCGAATTGCACACCTTCCTGCTGGGCAGGAGGCCATGTGCGTTTCTGTGCCATGATCATCTTGCCATTAAGACACAAAAGCAGCTGAATGTTGAGTTCCCACTTTTAATCCATCCAGCTTCCAGTTTTCACAACACTTGTAAGAATTTAATATTTTTAAGTTGCTCTATCACACCTCGTTGAGATTTGCAAACAGATTCACAAATGATTTAAGAGATGGACACGAAAGAGCAGCAGGTAAAACAATGGGATTACACGGGCCTTGGCTTAGTAAATCAGGTTAAAGGCACAATCATTCATATGTTCAAATGATATTTATATTTACAAGATTAAAATATTTTAGGGGGCCGGACAGAGCTAGCCAGAAAGAAAAAGGAAAGGCAAGCAAAGCAGCTGTGCAAACTGATCTTTAAAAGAGGCTTTCTTGAAGCAAACTCCACTGAAGTGCTTGGAACCACGGGGGCACGGATGCTGCTCCTGTATTGCCACCCGTGGGTGGTTGTCATCTGGATGCAGTGCTGTCACTGAACTCCAGCCAAGGGAAGTCCTGCCTCGTGTCACAGCACAAGCAGGGCCCTTCTCAGGGACAGCTCAGATCACCTGCTTGGTCTGTCAGCACACACTGTGGAATAAAGCAGAAGCTGAGCCAAGCAGGGAATGCCCCCAGAGCCCAGAATTCCCGGGGTGCCCTGTAAAACACACAGGACAAAGTTCATTGCCCCAAGCGGCTCCCAGGAGGCTCCGCTGGATACATGATGCCAAGAGTCAGAATCTGTTCACTTGCAGTTTGAGCTGTACATGGAAATCTTTATTCTAGTGATCTACCAGGAATTTCATTGTTCTTTCCCAAGTGAATTAATTTCCAGAAAGGATTTAAAGGATTGAGTAAACTCACATATTAGGCCATTTGCTGTCATATTGCTTTTGCTTATTGAAACAAATGAACATTCTATTTCTGCGAGAATTTATCCCTCTGCACCATAGCTTTTGGGAGGTTGTTTTTTAAAAGTATGAAGTTATAATTTGAGGAAGGAACTTAACACTTCTCTTCTTTTCAAAAGGAAAGAATTACACAAAAGTCACAGATGTTATAATTTAAACTTGCTTGTCTTCGGCTGAAGCAAAACCAAAGATAATAAAGTTCCCACTTCTATGGAAAATTGTGGCATAATTTTAAAACACTGTGCTTCAATGTTGTGATGCTAAATAAAAAACTGGAAGTCCAAAGAAACAATTGTGTCATTGGTTATCAAGAGACTTGGCTACATCTGTGAACAGTAGTGAGCTATGGATCACAGATTCATAGAATCACGGAATATCCTGAGCTGGAAGGGACCCACAAGGATCACCCAGTCCAACTCCTGGCCCTGCACAGACACCCCAACAATCCCACCCTGTCCCTCAGAGCGTTGTCCAAACACTCCTGGAGCTCTGGCAGCCTTGGGGCTGTGCCCACTGCCCTGGGGAGCCTGGGCAGTGCCCAACCACCCTCTGGGGGAAGAACCTTTTGCTGAGATCCAACCTGACCCTGCCCTGACACAGCTCCAGTCGGGTCCTGTCACTGGTCACAGAGAGCAGAGACTGAAGCTGCCCCTCTGCTGCCCCTCGGGAGGAGCTGCAGCCCCTGATGAGTCTCTTCTCAGTCTCCTCCAGCCTGAATAGACCAAGTTACCTCAGCCGCTCCTTGTATGACCTTTCTAGGCTCTTCACTGTCTTCATAGCTCTTTGGACACTCTCTAACAGCTGTACATCTTTCTTATATTGTGGTGGCCAAAAGTGCCCTCAGGACTCGAGGTGAGGCTGCCCCAGCACAGACCAACCCTATCCACTGCACAGCCCATCTCAGGAGCACTAGGACTAAGCTGAGGCCACAGCATTTTGCTGGCAAGGCTGGAGGACTCTTGCTTCCACCATAGATCCAAGGACAGAGGAGGCTCTGAGTGTTCAGCATGTCCCACCCCGCGGGCCAGGGGGCTGTGAGAGCCCACGGCTGGAGCCATCTGGCTGCTTCCTGCGGCTCCAACAGCGGGCCCCTTTGGAGCCAGGCCCGAGCTGGTGCTCAGACCCAAGCAGAGCTGCTTTTCCAAACCAAGAATTAATTTTTATGTTATTTTTGTTTCTTGGATCCACAGATTTACGTGATTCTCCTAACTCTGAATAAAGTGGAAATGGGTTTTCCCCTACATTTTGGTATCTCTGCCTGTTATCAGTTAGAGAAATACAGGGTTTATTTCAAACTTTTGGAAGCCTAGTTACTTAAGGAGTTCCTTCATTCGGCACACAATGTTAATTAGCCTGCATTGCCTTCTACAGGTGTTGTTCCTCTCTGCAACACAAGCACGTTTAAATGATTCGAGATTTGAGAAGGAGTCAGTGATCCCAAATTACTTAGCTGACCAAAGAGAATTTTGTGGCAATTCATCTGTTCCACCTCTCCAAAAAGCCCGAATGACGGTGGTGAAGCGTTTGCCGCCACAGCAAAAAGCAGGGCCTGAAAACAAGTCAGTGTCATTCAGCAGCCAAATACAGAACGATTTTAAACAATGAGCTTAACCAGCTCCCGGAACGATTCTCGGTGAAAAGCAGAGGATTCATTAACAGTGTTTTTTTCTAATTAATTAATTTTTCTGCCAAGGCGGCGCTTTCCCTCAGCAGCACGGCGAGACCGGCGGAGAGGCCTCACGCTGAGCCCTCACACTGAGGCTGCGCCGGGGCCGAGCGGCCCCGGGCGGGACCGCTCCGGGCGGCCGGAGCCTGGGGCGGGGCAGGCACCTCCGGGCGGCGCGGGAGGCCGCGGCCCGGCGGGGCAGGGACGCTGGTGCGGCCCGCGGGGCGGGCGCGGCCGCCCGGGCCATGGCGGAGGACGGGCAGCGCAGCCCCCGGGGTCGCTGCGGCGGCGGCTGCGGAGCGCGGAGGAGGCGCAAGCAGGCGCCAGGGCGGGGCTGGTGCGGCAGCTGCAGGACCCGAGTGAGGGGGCGGGCGGTGCCCGGGCCGGGAGGGGTTGGTCGGGCCGCCCGCGCTGCCCGGGGGGACTCGGCGTGGCCTCCCCGGGGCTCCTCGCCCAGCCCGGAGCTCGGGGAAGAGCGGCCCCGGAGCGGTCGCCCCGCTGAGCTCCGCCGAGGTCGGTTCCGGGCCGCAGCTGGTTGGCCCCCTTAGTAGGGCTTGTCCGAGGCAGGAGCCGAGCTGGTTGGCTTGCAGAGCAAATTTGAAAACTCATTTCCATCGCTTCAAAGGAGGTGTTCCCTCGAACACCCAGCCGTTGTCTCGGGGTAGGTGGTGGCCGTAGGCCCGGCAGAGCTGCCCACGTGTGTCTCCATCGCTGTCTCAGGTGAGCCGACAGCGCTACCTGTGAAAGAAACCCCGCCTCAGTCTCTGTCATATTAAAGTGAAACTTCTCTCTGTTGTAATCACTTCTTGTTGGCTGTATCGGCATCACTGTGCTTGGGCTGTACAGACTCAGAATAAAACTAATGCAGGAAGAGCCAACTGTGTTACACGCTGCATTCGCTCATCTTCATTCTCTGTATCCACCCAGGTACTGCGGTACCAGACGTGGTGTCGAGAGTTGGAGCAGCAAGTGAAAGCCGGAGGGGTGAGTGTGCAGGTTGTGGGCTAAAGAGAGTGTACGTAGCATTCCTAATTGCAGACCAAAAAAACACCTTCACAAAGCAATGACAGGAAAACAAGATTTTACTGTCTGAGGGTTTAGAGAAGCGCTCTGAGTTTTCCCATCAGTTTTGTCCAGTTGCCATTCTTAGGGCAGCCAGTAGTCCCAGAAATGCTAGTCAGGAGAACCCAGTTGAGGATTTTAATTCTGTGAAAGAGTGCTTTATTGCTGCAGTAACCTTTGTCCTGGGTCTCAGGAGAGGACTGTGCTGCCTGTTACATGGTACAGCTGTCTTGGAGGAAGAACCAGTTGAAACGCAGTGTTTTGGAAGGCAGGAATGCTGGTGTTCAATGTACAGACCTGGCTCTGTGCTTTTCTTTCTGCTTCACGGCTAAAGTAAACATGGAAACCGAAGGGTAGGAGAGAGCATTCCCAGGGTTCAAGTCAATGTCAGCACTTGAGGTCATGAGCTGAGGATACATAGCTGCGAGGATTCAACAGTGGAAGAGTGAGGAGAGCTACTCACTATGTAACACTTCCCTTCTACTCCCTTCTCCTCTGTAGTCACAACACTTACATCTGGAAACCACGAGCTCCTGAGATACCCAACTAATGGACAGGAAGGTGGTGGATGCTAACAGTGGTGAAGGAAACACCAGCATTTGACTAAACATTTCCTTTTTTCTTAAGGGATCCCTTTCAGGCAGGTGGGAAGCCACAGCAGACCACAACCTGGAGAAAGCCCTGCTTCAGGTGGAAGAGGAGCAGCAAAGGTACAAGGAAGAAGCATTTCTTCATACTTGGTATCCTGGATGCTCATGGAAGTGAGGGAAAAACCTGTCGGTGCTGCCTGGTGTCCCCAAGGGAAGCGGTTGGGCAAGCTGCTTTGGCAGGAGAAAGGTCCACCATCTGTTTTCTGTGGTGCAGTAATAGTGCTGTGTGCTGAATGGCTCTGCTTTGAGTGGGGAGGGGGGGGTGTATTCTGGGTGAAAGGTCCCTTTCCAGCCTAAATTATTCTGTGGTTCAGTAGGTGAGTGGCTCAGATAGTGCTGGAGAAAGGTGATGCATCCAGTGACCATCAGCATGAAGGAGGGGGCGAGTTGTTAATTGTGGGCATCAAGGATGGAGGGGAAAACAAAATCATAGGTGGAAATTAAAGGCTCAAAGCAAGGGAAAGCAAATGAGTTTTTCATCACAGATCTTAATCCTAGAAAGTGCTTTTACTGCCTCTCAGGCAGCAAAGTCAGTGTTGAGGGAGCTGGAAAATCACAGGGATGCTGGAGAGCAGTTGTTCAGTGACCTCATTGCTGTTTCTCCCTTTCCAAGGTGTGAGAACCTGGCAGAAGTGAACACTCTCCTGCGGGAGCACCTTGATAAAGCCAGTGAGGTTAACTCAGCCCTCAGAGAAGATGTTGGAAAGCTGACGGTGGATTGGATGAGGGCCCGGGAGGAGCTGGAGTTGAAGGAGAGTGAGTGGCGCCATGAGCGTGAGGTAGGGATGGGCTGTGGGAATTCAGCCATGCCAGGTCGGAACACGAATGCATTTTGTTCCTGGCTCTGCTGAAGTGTACTGGAGGTTTTGGTGTTGGTAAGCAGGACAGGAGTGTGAGGGGGAGGAGTGTCAGCAAATGGTGCTGGTGGGAGATGCTCACCTGCTGTGACTGTACTGCTGGGTCCTAAAGGCAAAAGCTGGCTCTTGCTGGGCACTGTTGGGCAGTCACAGGAATGCTTCTCTTTCTGATAGTTCCTAAATCCTTGTCTCGAGCAGTGGAGATTAGAGAGCTCTGTGTGTGTTCAGATTCAAAGTGGCCAAACAGAGGAACAAGACAGGCCTCCCATACCTGTTGTAAGGCAACCTGACACAGGGCTTAGAGGGGCTTGTGTTTGTCTTCCTCCACAGAGGCTGAGACACCTCTGCAAGGTGAGGGGATGAATCATGATTAGTTTGCTTTGCTGCTACCCACTGCTGCAGGAGAAATGTGGGTGTTCCCTTCTTGGCAGGTCTGCTGTGTGCCTCTGTGGTACCTCTGCAGTCCTTAATGTCCCTGGTGCAGTAGTTCCTAAAGGGCACCTGGTGGTGGTGGTTGTACTCCCCTATCTGAGAGATGTGTACGGTGACAGTGAAGGCTGAATTGGCATTTCTTTCTGTCTTTGCATGTGTAGCTTTATGACAACTACTTAAAGGGGGAACATAACCGTCTGCTCAGCCTGTGGCGTCAGGTGGTGACGTTCCGCCGTCACTTCCTGGAGATGAAGACTGCCACGGACCGGTGAGTGGAAGTTAAGGCAAGAGCTTCAGAAAATATAAGGCTTGCCTTCACACCTGCTTTTTGAACCTCAGTGTTGCGTTAGTTACAGCAAAAGAGGGGATTTCTCCTGCCTTTTTTTCTGTTGGCAGTTGGAAGCAATGCTTTGGGCTGTTTTCAGAAGCATTTTGTTTGCAGGTAAAGCTGAGGGGCTTGAGCACTGCAGAGGCCCCGAGCAGGTGACTTGGCTGTGGTGATGTGTGGGCACATGAACGCAGGCACAGGCATGTGTGGACACCTGGGAATAGATTCACTGAAGCTGTGCAATGCTTCGGTGTATGGAGCAGTCCCTTGTAGAGAATGACAAAAACCTGCCTTAAAAAGCTCACCAGGTTTCTTCTCCTGAGAGAAAGATCATTAATGCATACCTTTTTTTCCCTTTTCATTTCCAATGTACATTTATTTTGATTGGTTTGTATCCACTTATTCATCTCCTAGTGTTGTTCAGAGAAAAAATAGCTTCTCTACACTGTTACTGCATTTATCCAATTTATTTTGCTTAGTTTGATACCTCTTTTTATGATTGTTTTCTTGTTCTTGGGCTCACTGAGGTTCCTTTCTCACAGTTGCCTTCTATGCAAAAATAACATAGCCATAGTAATACCTTCTTCTCGTGTCAGCATGCAATTTCAAACTCTGGGTTACTATCAGCCATTTGTCTTATTTGGTTATAAGTCTTCCCTATTGTGTAAAGTCTGCCTGACCTGCTATTTAATGTTTGTGTTATTTGTACTTTTATGTTAAAGCATTTTAGGCCAATTCTTACACCCCTTTCCTGAAGTGTTTATTATATAGGTATGATCATGAGCCTCTTAACAGTCCAAGGGGGGATGATAACAGCACTTAAGGCTGATTCCCTTGAATAAAAGCTGGAGACTTTGGTAAAATTCCTGGCACCTATTAAAGATAATCAAGAGTATGTTAATAAGATAGAGCAGGAGTAACAATAAGAGTAATTAGGGATTCTTGAGGCCTTCTGGCTGTGCCATATCTTTCTTCTTACATCTGAGGAGAAGACAAACTCCTCCCTCAACTACCCAGGAAAGTCTTTGTTCAGCTGTCAAGATGTGTCCTGGTCCCCAAGTGTCACATTAATGACTCTCCCCAGCAAAGAGGTCATCTTGCCTGCCAGCATTGCCTGTTGCATGATTACATGCTTCGGAAGTGAGTCAGCTGATAAAGATGGTGGTGTGAACATTGGCTGTTTCTTGGTTCCTCTCCAGAGATTTGTCAGAGCTGAAGGCGGAACAGATGAGGCTTTGTGGATCTATCCTGGTGAACTGCTCCCACCTGAACTCCAGCGTGCGGCTCAGGGAGTCCATAGCTCTGGGTAAGCCTGTCCTGAAGGGTCAGGCAGACCAGCAAATGGAACAGAAAATAAACCACAAGATTCAGGAAGTCAGGTGGGACCTGGAGAAGAAGGAGCTTCAGGACAGGTAAAGGTGTTTGAAACTTTGCTATTACAACTTTATCTTTTTGTTCACATTTAGAACACACCCATTGTGCACAGCCCTGTTTCTGTCCCCGGGCAAACTCTTGCCTTAAACAGAAAGGATAGAAAAAATCATCTGTTCAACAGAAACTTCTGAGTAAGACAAGAGTGGAAAAGAGATTGCCTCTTAGAGTGCTTTTGCTGTTAGTTGGTTCTTGGTGAAAAACTGAGACCAGTATAAAGAGAACTGTGTCCCTGTTGCTACTCTGGGCTGTGCTGAAGGAACTGGGAGGAATTTGCCCAGGGCCATCACAAGCGCTGTAGCACCTCTGTGCTGACAATTCCTTGCAAGACTGAGTGCAGAGGCCTTTGGGGCCAGAAGTGCCATTTTTCAAGATGAAGCCTATTAACCTGTAGAGATAAGCGCTGCCTTTGCTGTGTTTCCTGGGTTGAACTTTCTCTGCTATGCTTCCGGGAGCTGCTTTGCTCTTTAACAGGTGATGGTGTGCAAAGCTTTTGGAATGGCACATGGACCTTCTCTTCTCAGGGTGATGGAGCTCTCAGCCTTGCTTGTACAGTCTCAGAAGCAGAACGAGGAGAAGGAGAAGACCATGAAAACACTTAACGACACAGTGGAGATTCTAGTATGTTTTACCTTTACCTGGGAGATAGCCCAGTGTTTGCTCTCCAGCCTGAGCACAGCTTCCTCAAGAGACAGAGAAGGAAAGATGCTCAGCATATGGGAACATCAGGCACCTGGCCAAACTATTCCTTCTGAGTTTGGCTGATGTGGAGTCAGTTCAGGTGCAGGCAGTGGCAGAGGAGCTGCAGACAGTTCAGGTATCTTCCTCTGAGGGGTCACACCAATGCTCTTCTGCCTGTGACTTTAAGTCTGTGGGGATCAGAGTTGCTTGGAGCTGACAGCTTAGTAGCAGTCTATAAAAACCAGCTGTTGGTCTTCCTCTTCCTTTTAGCAAAGAAGAAATGGAGTAGATATGGGCAGGAGTATACTGGAATCACTAGGGCTGAAACCCATCGGCATGACAATGCTGCTGAGGATGGGAACACTGCAGATGGGAACAGCTCTTCCCTGCCCACCCTTTCTTTATTCTGTTCTCAGGAATCGAGTTGGATAGAGAAAGAGTTTGAAGCTTCATTGACTAAAAGTGCCAAAGAAGAGAATCTTTTCCTCCAAAAGCTCATAAAAAATATCACTGAGGTGAGTACATAGTTGGTACAGTACCAGAGTTGGTACAGAGTTGGTGCAGGGACCACATCCCTGTAAATTTGATTTTAAAGTACTTGAGGAAGACAACAGACTAGCCCAGGGACCAGAGATACATGTTGTGTACTGACTGTGTTAACTGGCATTGCCTCTTTGATTTTTAGACCACTTTTATGACATAGAACCTGTCCTAACTTGCAAGTTGCTGTCCTGTGACACTTCAGCTGAGCCACTAGAAGTTTCAGTACCTTTGCCTTCACCGTCCCACTAAGGTCTCTTTGGGTCTCTGCTTTGAGTGTGCTACTTGGCATTTGTATTCCAGTGTTTCTTAGGTACTTTCTCCACCCTCTTTGAGCAATGACTGTTGCTCTTCAGAATTTTATAAAAGGTCACTGACTCAGTCAGTGCACTTGCCAACTCTGCTCCTTCCCTCTATGTTCACTGACCATCATAATCTCCCCAGAATTGCAACTTTTCAGGGGTAACCTCAACTTATACCTAAAATTCCCTTGAGGGAGGAGAGTTTAATTATCAGCTCTTTTACACAGCTTCAAGGAAGTGAGCATTCAGGCAGCCTCCAGCCACTTTACACTTGTGAAGAGTAGCTGTATTCAGAAATCCCTGGAGTACCTGTGGCCACAGGGACAAACTTGTTTGGACTGCAGAAATGAGACAGTTGAGTTTTAATGACTCCAGGGTGAAGTGAGGGGAAAAGGAGAATAAGATAAAGTAGAATGAGCAAAGACTAACAGCTTGATGTGGGCTCTCAGGTGGTGTTAGACGACAGCGACAGCCTGGTCAGCATTATCTGCACTGACAGTTCCCATCATGCAGAGTCCGGGAACATCTTCTCCGCTCCGAGACTGGTTGACACAGGGCATGCCTTTGGATTGGTTCTGGAAGCACTGGCAAGGATGCGAGGGGCAACACAGGTGAGCCCTTGTGCTTGTCTTGCCCACTGGCCACAGGCTCAGCTGCCGATGCCTCGCTCAGCTCGACACCCTTCCCATTCCCTTGGCCTGTTGAGCCACTTTCTTTCTCGCCTTCACGCTCATGGTCCCACACTGCCTTGCTGGTCTCACCAGCTCTATGTTCTTCTGCTTTTCTGTCTTTGATCCCCACACCCTCAGCACAGCTTTTTGCCTTCAGGGGAGCTGTCTGTGCTTGCTTCTCCCAGCTCTCTGGAGCCGTCTTCTCTGCTCCTTACTGCTTGTTTGTGCTCTTTCCCTGTCTGTTCCTGCAGGCTCTGAGAGAAGAGCTTTCTGCCAGGGAGGACTCAAACAATTTCCTGCTGCAGCAGCAGAGACAGCAGGAAGAGAAGTGCAGGGAGGTGCAGCAAAAGCTTGAGAAATTGGAGGAGAAATGCAAGAGGTCCAGCAGCCACCAACAGCATCTGCAGTCCTTGGTAGAGGAACTCAGGAGGTGAGTGTTTCCTCCTCCTCCTCCTGCATTCAGAAGCAGTCTGTTTCCAGTTGTGGGACTTCAGAGGTGTTCTGAGCAAAGAACTCACCTGCCCTTCCACATGTAGGCCTCGGTGTGGCACTTCAGCATCGTCCTGTCAGGGCTTTTCATGCTCTACAGTGATTCCCAAGGCTGTCTCTGAGATGGACGGTGATGTTGGAACACAAGATGCTTCCCTCTTGCCAAGCTGTCTCCCTGAATGCTGTTCTTTGGGTGCCCTTTCCCAGACACTGTTTCTCACTGAAGGAAGGCAAAAGCCTGCCTTTCTTTCCCTCTTCAGGGGTTTCCTTGAGAGGGAAAGAACGAGGTCTTCCTTAGCTTGCTGCCCCCAGCTCCATCCTGGAGTGCTGAAAATGGGATCTGTGACTCTCCGGGCTTCTTTGTTCTTCTGACTGAACCTTATCTCTGCAGGGACTGTGCAAATCTTGAGAAAACTAGGGAAGAGCTACAGCAACAGCTGGGATTAATGGAGCAAGAAGCCTCTTGTCTGCGTCAGAGTAAAGCTGAGCTGCAGCTGAAGGAAGAGTCAGCCCAGGCAGAAAAGGCAGAGCAGCAGGAGAGGATGGAGAGAGCGCGGCGTGACCAGGAGCTCCTGTGAGTGTTCAGGCTTTCTCTGGGCAGGGGTGGGCAGTGCTGGGCTTGAAGAGGCTCAGCATAAAGGAACAAATGGTGCACAAATGCTCCTTGTTTCGATCACAGACTGTTTTTTGATAAAAACCTTGCCTTTCCCTCCTCATAGAGTGAAGGACTTGGCTGCACTTGAGGGAAAACACTCATCATTGCAGAGGGAATTGTTAGTCATGAGACAGACACTGGAGAAATTGCAGCTTCAGAGGGATCTGCTAGAGCAAGAGAAGGATGAGCTTACCATGGCTCTGGAGAAGGTATGGACACCTTATTCCTAGGCAGCACTTGTCAGGGGACTTTTTCTCCCCAGATGCTGTTTCTGGCAGTAGAAGACAGGGACAATGTTGTTCTCCATGGAAAATGGTGGCCTGACCAGACTCATTGTTTGGGGCCATTGATCCCCATGAGCTCATTGGGAGCTCTGCCCTGGGAGTAAGTCAGAGACAGCCAGGGAGGTGGAGTTGCTGCCTGAAGTGTGGGATTTTGCTGCCTTTGTTGTTCCACTGCTCTTTTGCCCCTCCAGGCAGAGCGGTCAGTGGCAGAGCTGACAGGGGCTCAGAACAAGCTGAATGCTGAAAGAGCTGATCTCCGGGCTGCAGCAGCAAAGATGAGCAGCATCAATGAAGCCCTTGCACTGGACAAAGTGCAACTGAACAAACACATGCTGCAGGTGAGCAGAGTTGCCAAAGATGTTGCCAGATGTTCATCTCCAGCTGCTGCTGCTTCTCAGCCTTCTTGCCTGGGGACAGTCTGACCATGGCATTGTTCCTTTTGTGTCTGGGCCAAACTTCTTAGTAATTCTTACTGTACTTTATTTCCTCTGTGGTTCTCTGACTGTAGTTGGAGCAAGAGAAGGAAGTTCTGTCGGCTAAAGTGGATGAAATGGAGAGAGCAAAGGTCTCTGAGCAGGAGAAGCTGAACTTTTGTGAAAGAGCTAATGAAGAGCTCAGCACAGAGAAAGCCCAGCTGGAGCAGCTGCTGAAGGAAGCAGAGGAGCAACAGGAGGAGTTGCGGGTGGAACTGAGGGCATTGGGAGAGGAGAAGGCAGAAACCCAGGAGAAATTCTGTCAGGTGAGACCAAAAAGGTGGCATGTCCAGGTGGGCATTTAGCTGCTTGGCTGAGGGGAGCTGTACCTGTTAGATTCTGCAGTGGTTTGGTCAAGGGGACACATGGTAGTGCTGGAGGTCACAAGGCTTTGTTTGCTCCTTTTTGGAAATGTGTGGATGGCTTGCAGAGTTGTTTGCAGTTCTGAGTTGTCCTGTGCTTCTACGGAGTCTTTTAGTCCACCTGTCTCTGTTGGCCTCTTTTGTGGCTTTTGATAAACTGCAAAGAGACAATTGTGTTGCCCTTGAATCTGAGTGGGGCTACTAATCTCACACGTGGCAAAAGAAACAAACTGTGTAGGTCTGAACCTTGTTTTCTGAAACAAAAAAATGAGCTGCATGTTTCTGTTGATGCTTTTTGTTGGTGAATCAGCAACTTTCAAAACTCGGTTTGTTTGAACCTAGAGAGCAGGAAAAAGCTGCAGGTCTATGGCTGCTGTCCTGTACTGCTAAGAAAGGGAGTAACATCTTTAAATTCTTGGAATTCTATTTCAAGACATATGTGCAACTTGGTGGCTGAAAAGCTGCCTGGGGGAAAAGGTTTTGGGAGTGCTGGTGAACAGCAGCTGCACATGAGCTGTCAGTGTGCCCAGGTAGCCAAGAAGGACAAAGGCATCCTGGCTTGTATCAAAAATAGCATGTCAAACAGGACCAGGGCAGTGACCATCCCCCTGTGCTGGGCACTGATGAGGCCTCAGCTCAAATCTTGGAGTCAGTTTTGGGCCCTTCACAACAAGAAAGACATTGAGGAGCTGGAGTGTGTCCAGAGAAGGGAATGGAGCTGGGAAAGGGTTGGAGCATCAGGAGCAGCTGAGGGCTCAACCTGGAGAAAAGGAGGCTCAGGGGAACCTTCTTGCTCTCTGCATCTCCCTGACAGGAGGGGGGAGCCAGGATGGGATCAGGCTCTGCTCCCAGAGAACAAGGGACAAGAGGAAATGGCCACAGGTTGTGCCAGGGGGAGGTTTAGATTGGGTATTATAGGATAACTGTGAGAAAATGGTTTGTTTCTTTTCTGTTAGTCACAATTTTGGAGGATGTGGTAGGTTTGGCAAATACACAGCAGAGGTTTTATACCGAAGAAAACAGCTCAAAAAGCACAGTTAAGCTACATTAGACTACTTTGTGTAAGTAAATGGTATTGTTGGTGTGAACTGCTGCAGATAGAGTCTGCTTTGGCCACATCAACCAGACTTGCATAAATCACTGAGTGACTGCTCCCCACAAGGGCCGTTTCCCTGCCAAGCATCCCCTCGCACATACAGCTGCTTTACACACTGAGGGAGGTGACACTTTCACGTGGGGTTTTTTCCTAGAAGGAGAAACCCTGTGTATTTTCACTTGCTTCAGTGAGCAAAATTGCTTTTGCTCAGCCTTCCCTGAAAATTTCCCGCTCTGGAATGGACTGATGGAAATTCCGTTTGCAAAGTGGCAGTTCTGGAAGATGCAGTGTTTTTGAATGACAACAAATAGTTTGGAGTAGGGATGTTTGTCGTGAAGGAGGTATCTGGTCCCAGGCAAACCAGAAGGGCCTGACACATCACTTCAAGTTGACAGTGCCAGTGCCTTTTGGCAGCCCAGGGTATCAGTGCTGCATATGGCAGATGCTCTGAAGCTTTGAGCCCAGAGTGCAGGAGCTCTTTGTCCTCTGGCTGGCTCCCAGGTGGCACTGGCTGGCTCTGCACAGGGCTCCCGAGGAAGGACTCGAGCTCTCCTGTGCCCACCTTCCAGGTTTCCCGCGAGAAGGAGTCGGCTGGCAGAGCTCTGGAGCAGCTGCGCCAGGAGTCCTCTCGCCAGGAGCAGGCGCTGGCCCAGGCGTGCAGGGAGAAGGAGCTGCTGGGCCGGGAGAAGGCTGCCCTGGAGGTGCGACTGGCAGCCACGGAGCGGGACCGACAGGGCATTTCTGAGCAGCTGGCAGAGGCCAGGTAAAGGCAGGGGGGACACCCTGGGCAGGACGTGACTGAATATACGTGGCTGTAATAATAAAGGTGGAAAGCACTACAGAGGGGTTTATTGCATCCTCTGTGCTTTTCAGCTGTAGATTTGCTATTGAGGTCAAATTGGACCAGGCCATAAGGAAAGCCTGGGCATTCCCTTGGAGGGCCCTGCTTTGCTATGGAAATGGCACAAATATGCCTTCTATATTCAAGTTTCCATGCCACCCATTTTCTGTACTCGGGTGTGGGGATCTTGAGCCACGTTATTCTGGAATACTCCCTGTGGGTGTCAGAAGCAAGAAACTCCTTTTTCTGTCCATTTGCATCTTGTAGGTCAGTGAAGGAGACCCTGGAATCCAGCCTGTTTGCGGCTCAGCAGCAGGTATCTCAGCTGGAGATCACCAGGAGTCACCTGGAAGCTCAGCTGCACACAGTCATGCAGGCCAAGGAGGTGATCCAAGGTGGGAGCTTTGTGTGCTTTGTTTCCAGGCCCCGGCCTAGGGAAGCTGCTGTAAAGCCACCTCTGTCTGCAGGGCTTCTGAGGCACAGAGGGGCCGGAGGCAGGGTCCTCCTACACTGAAACTGAAAGGGCTGGAGGTCAGTAAAGACTCTGAATCTTGCCCTTGGTCGTGTTTGCAGGGGAAGTGAAGTGCCTCCAATGTGAGCTGGAAGCAGAGAGAGCCCTCGGGAAGCAGGAAAGGGAAGACATGGCCCAACAACTCTTGCAGGCAGAGCAGCAGTATCACGATACCCTCAGACTTGAGGAAACTGCTCATCAAGGGGAAATAAAGAAGCTCCTGCAAGACCTGGTAGGAGACAATACGCTTGTGAATTGTTCGGGCCAGCTCTGTGGGCTGGTTTAGCAGAATTAGAGCCTGAGTGTGGGAAATGGCAGCAATCACCTGCCATGGGCTTCACACTGCTGGGCCAGGCAGCAGAGCCAGCAGCTGGGACTTGAAGGCAGTGGAAGACCCAAAGGATGATGCTGGGACAGTAAATGCAGCCACAACTTCAGTGTGGGTGTCAGGTGAGTTGCAGAGCAGGTTGGGAGGTCCCCACCCCGAGCGTGGCAGCCAAGGGCAGGATCAGACCCGACTGCCGCCTGCCATGGAGCAGATGCCAACAGTGCTGCCAGCTGCAGTCAAGGGAACTTGGTTCCTCTCTTTTTGCCCTTACCCAGGGGACAGAGGGATCAGCTTTGGGCTTGAAGCATATGGAACAGGCCCCTTGTCCCTGGTCCTTCAGTCCTCGTGACTGGGCCATGGGCCCCCTCCTTGCCCTGCAGATCGTCTGCACCTGCTCATGGCTGGAAAGGGAAGGGAGGTCTGAGCAGAGAGACCCTGAGGGCAGAGAGAAAGCCTGAGGAGAGAGGTGCCAGGAATCAGGCAGCCAGCAGAGGGAGCATGGGGATGTGTCCTTGTCTTAGTGGTTGGACTAATTGCTTATAAAGGTCTTTTCCAACAGAAAGGATTCCATGACTCCATGATTCTTGCACCTTCTGACACTCCTGTCAAATTCTGTGGTAATAGTTCAGGATTTCTGGAGGGCAGAAAGCCACTCCTGTGCTCTGTTCAGGTTGGGGTTTGTGGGAGGGATAAGGATTTCATTTTTCTGTGAAGAGCTTGGCTGGCACTTTATCTGGAAGACTTTTCCTCCCCTCATCAGGCAAGCGAACGAGAAGAGCACCATGCAGAGATGCAGAAGATGCTGAAGGAATGGGAAAAAGGGAAGGCAGAGACAGAAGAGGAGCATAAGAAGATTCTGTTTGAGATGAGACAGAAAGTTGCCACTCTGCAGGCTCAACAAGAAGAGGAACGAACGAGATTGGAAAATGCCAAGCAAGAGGTAAAGATTGTGAAAGAATTGATGTGGTGTTTTTGCAAGGCTGGAGCTGTGGGACATGGCAGGATGTCAGGCTGTGTGGAGCATGTCCTCCATGTCTTCTACATTGCATTTGGAGGGGTGAAAGGTGAACAGGGCTATCTTCAGGATTAGGAATGAGACCTCTTATAGAAAGCCAGGCAGAAACGTCACCTTTCAGATGAGATTTTTTCTAAGACTCACCTCAGAGTATCTTCACTAACAGTCTCCTTGGGATGTTTTCTAATATGTGGTTATAGCCAAACTGATTTTGTGGGACTGAATCCCCAGGAGGATGGCTGGGAGTTTTCTTTTGTGGGAATGGGGAGGGCACAGCAGGAATGATGACTAGAGAAAAATCTTTTTAAAGCCTTCTCTGGAATATTTCTGAACAGTAACCCAGAGATGTCTTCTGGGCTGCACTTTAAGTCACTTCCTGGGAAGCAGTTTCACATTTTGATCTCTGTGCCAAAGCAACCCTGTCATACACTGAGAGTCTCCCTTGTGTCCTCCCCAAAGTGCTCTTCATGCCGACTGCCTGGGGACAGCAGTACCCCCAGCTGTGTCTGCAGGTATTGAAAGGCCAGAGCAGTGCTCAGGGATGACAGTGTGTCCCTGGAATGTCAGTACTTTCCAAAGGTAGCTAAAGAACTGAAGTAATTTTCACTAACCTCCTACTTAGAACACATGGGTTTCCTGAGGGAGCTGCTCCCTTCAGCCCTCAGCAGCTTTGCGTTTGCTCTGCTGCTCACGAGGTGCAGCAGTCGCTGTTGAAAGACAAAGCAGACAGGGCAGAGGAGGGACACCCTCAGCAGCACAGCCAGACAGCAGGGAAATGCCACCCTTCCCTGGGAGATGACTGACAGTCTGTTGGGGCTTCAGGCATGGATGGGCCACATTTGTGGTGCCAGTCTCCCTTGGGAAGCTGTGTCCCCGTGGGCAGATAAGGACCCAGGAGAGCAGCAGCACAGTGCTCTGAGAAGGCATGAACCCATCAGTCCTTGTGTCCTGACACACACGTGTTGTATGGAGGTGTGAACCCATCTGCTCTTTGTTTCTGTGCAGGTCCTGCTGGAAAAGCAGAACGAGAAGAGTGTTTTATTAGAGACACTGCTCCAAACTCAGGGAGAGCTAAGCCAAGCCTGCCAGCAGGTCCAGCAGCTGAGGCAGGAGATGCAAGAACAGCAAGAGAAGGGGCAGGTAAGTCTGAGTAGCCAGGGAACAGAGTGAAGGGCAGTACCAAGGCCATAAAATGCAGGTCCTGGGACTGAGGAGGCAAGGACTAGTGCAGGCACTGAAAGCACAGAGCCTGGTGAGCTCCAGAGCTCAACCCCAGGAAGGAAGGGTTGCAATGGAAGTGGAGCTGGATAGAGAAGCCATAAGAAGTGGCTGAATAAAAGGGATTTTGAGACAGAAAGGAGAAAAAGCTGAGCCTGAAGGAAGGTCCCAGGAACTTGTTCTGCATTTGTGTTTCCAGATCATCAAGGCAAAGCTGCAAGCAGAGCTGCAGGAAGCTCAGAGGGAACTCCAGGCAGCGGAGAAGAGGCACAAAGAAGAACTTGAAAGCATCCAAGAGGAAATGAATCTCCTCCTTGAGCAGAGGGAGGATCTACAAAAGCAGGTGTGTGAAACAGCAGCAACCACCCCACAGTCATGCCACAGGTGGTCTGTGCCCTTGTTTGCCTTTCCCTTGCAGAGCAGCAGCTGGTGGGCTGATCCCTCTGCCTGCCTCATTCTCTGGGCTCCACAGCAACTGCTCTGGAGGACACGTCCTGGTCTGCTGAATCTCAGCTGCTGCCCTGGACAGCTGGGCTAGTCCTTTGGCCTGTTGGGCAGCAGTCACCAGCAGGGATTTCTGCTGGCCTCTTACTGCTGGCCTTGCTTTTTGAACTGGTTTCTCAGATGCCTTTGGTGACCCCCTGAGATTCTGAAACAAGTCGTCCATATCCTTTGGGAATCTGATCCCACTGGGACAGGGTGGAACTGAAAGTTGTCCTTTGCCTTTCCTCCCAGTGTGTGATGTGGCTGACAGCAACAAGCTGTAGTCTCTGACTGCTTTTTCTTTCGACTTGAGGTGGGACACTGGACATCTCAGCTTGCAGCCTGCAGAGAGTCCCACGAAGCCATTGCCCACAAAGCTCAGCAAGATGTGAGCGAGGCCCAGGAACTCTCAAAGCAGAAGATGCTGGAGATTGAGAAGCTCCAGAAGATCCTGGAGGAGGTTGAACAGGAGAAGAAGGAGCAAAAAGTTTGTCTGCAAAACTTGGAGAGTGAAAGGAGCCTTTGGGAAGAAACAGAGCGGCAAAACTCAGAATTTCAGGCTTCGGTGAAGGCCCTAGAGAGGGAAAAAACCAGGTAAATGAAAGCCTGTGGGACCATGCTTTCTGTGTCATGGGTTGCCTGTTTCCAATCTTTGCATCTGCAGGTGACTCTGGAAGCATTTCCTAAATGTCAGAGTTCTGAACTATCCATGCAGATGTGTTTCATTCTCTTGATTTTGTGTTGCATTTTCTTTTAATCCTTCAGTTAGTTTTTTCTGAAGGCAACTGCTTTTGGAGTAGCTCTTCCCCTATAAGGGAGTGTTCTGTTGTCAGGTAGGGGGGTTAACACTGGACAAGGTGTGGTGTAATGAGCTGGATACATCCATCAGCTCCACCTTGGGTCCAGGAACTTGAAACCTTTGGGATCAGTATCACCAGGCATCCTGATCCCTGTGGTTGGCAGAAGCCATCTTAAGGCTGTGATTTTTGATCTGAGCAAGATTAACAGAATCATGGAATGTGAAGTTTGGAAGGGACCACAGTGGGGCCTCTGGTCCCACCTCCCTGCTCAAGCATGTGGCACAGGATTGTGTCCAGACAGTTCTGGAATATCTCCAGTGGGGGAGACAACACACCCTCTTTGGTCTCTGTTCAGAGCTCAGTCACTGCACAGCAAAGAGGTTCTTCCCTGTGTTCAGATGGAACTTCCTGGGCATCAGTTC